TTAGCTACAGGTGCTGCCCTGCCCTCTTAATTTGCCACATTCAGAGTATCTGTTCTAGCACAGAGGAGCTGGACTTTTTTCATTTAAAGGGTCCAGCCACCTTGTGACAATCTCTGACCAGAAGAGCTTACAATTTAAGGTTTGTAAGCTCTTCAGACAAATAAGGTTCAGAGGTGGGCAAATAATAATATTGGAAGAGAAGGGACAAAGATTACAAGAATAAGATTATTCGGTCACTGAGATACGCACATCTTGGTTCCTTTAAATCAGAGGGTTTGTTTTCTAAGTTATCTCAATTCTTATAGAAGTAAGTTTTATGGGGAGATTTGAGTGCAGGGTGAGAAGTGCTCTGTATATAAGTTTAGGTAGAGCTTTCCAGCATAGAAATAGGCACAGAAGTGGAAGTGGGAGAAGAGATCATCAGTGGTGGATGGTGGGGACAAGGGGAAATACATTATTAGGTAAAGAACCCCAAAACAAAACACAACACTACACACGCAGTTTTCTCCCCAGGAAGGAGAGAGAAAAAACAAACCACTCATGACAAACATTAGCCGCGTTGCTTAATGCACTACTGAAAGTTGCCCAGATAGTACAGTGATGAAGGTGGTTTAGGAAATAATATCTTATACCATCTTGTGAGTAATACATATATGAAAACTTCCCAATAAAAGTTAATAGCTGTGACATCTCTACTTCAAGCAATATGACGCTCTTTAGAAATGATGTAACAACATGATATATTGTTTATTATTTAAGTGCCAACAACAGGCTGGACATTGTACTAGTCACAGAATATTCTAGACAATTCCTCCTTTGAAGGGCTGACAATATAAAAGATAAAATGGAGAAGACAAGATGCAGTAGTAAACTTTCAGGAGAGATTAATTTGGAGTTATAATTTATTATTATTATCATCATCATCACCACCACCATGGCACCACAGAACAAGTGAGTTTATAGAAGGGATTTGAAAGTAGAGAGACTGGTAATTTTGTGCAGTGGGATGAGAAGAGCATTTTATGCATGGGGGTGGCACGGAAAAAGGCATCGAAGCTGCAGTGAAAGGAGGCAAAAAATGGGACATTGAGTCTAGCGTTACTGGCAAAGTAATATGATAATGTAGATGAGAAGCACAACAGATTTGTGATGGCCCTTCAAGACAAGAAAAAGATGTTGAATATTCCAAATTTTATGTTCAGGTGTGAGGAAAAAATTACTTTCCCAGGAAATGAGTTCCTTTTATCTGCAGAAAACAAATAAACATTCAACATTCTTAAAGCCACAGCCACCACAAGAGGTTTAGTGCTTTCTGGATAAACACATAGTTGTCAGAATAGGCCTTTAGTATTTTTATTGCTCAGACAAGATTGTCTGGTACAGTGCGTGGTTAGTGGTTTGGTCTCTGAGTTGTAATGAGTTAGCTGTTAGTAGGGTAGCATTATGTTTTATTGGATGTTTCCCTCCCTTTCTAGAGCTTTTATACTATTGCTTGCAGTTTTTCTATGACATTTTTATGTACCCTCCGTGTATTAATTGAGGGTGAGAGCTTATGAGTTCAGCATTTAAATTTTGGTAATTAAAAAAATAAATAAAATGAAAACTGAATGTAGAGGTGTAGCTGAGAAACATTGGACCAGATCCTCAGCTGGTGTAAAATTTCATATTTATCTTCCCTGACACCAGATGAGTTATAACAATTTACACAAGTTAAGGATGTGTCCCATTATCTCTTTTTAACACCAAGATATTGAGAGCAAGAGTGTTTCAGTGTTGAGAATATATAGTGTTGATTGACTGGTTAGCAAGTAATGATTTGAAGTTAAACCTAAAGTACGTAGAATTGTTTGCACACAGCAGAGCAGTGGGGTGACTGAATTACAGGATAGGAAAACAGCTGAGCCACAGAGCTCTGATGGGTATTTCCTGCTGTAAGTACTTGCATTTACTTGTCAACAGTTGTTTAACATAATTTGGGTTATCCCTTATGTCAGCTCTGACACTTGTATGCAATATCCTTAAGATATATTAACTCTCCAATTCATCAGCAATGCTTACCTGTGATTGAAAGATCTGGCCATTTGATATGAAGCGAGGGGAGTAAGAAATGGAGTGCAGGGTGAAATAATTTTGCGTTAAAATCTCTCAAAGAGGATAATATAACTCAGTTTTCCTCTTATTTCTTCATATAGTATTTTTCACTTGAGCATCAGTGGATGGGGAATTTTTTCCCCCTCAACTAACATCCCAACATGCTTTCTTGCATTGAATTTTTTTGAATTATGGCATCTCTAAAAAATGTTGTCATTTCTTTAAAAATTATTTTGTTTCTTGTTTCTGTATTTTGCCACATTCCAGCAACATTTGTATAAGGAACTGTAGATTCTCTGTCAGAATTTCTCTGAAATCTTTCACTGAAGAATTTAATTAAGAAATATCCAGAGGTATTTGTAATTTTTTTTATTGTTACCTTTTAACACACACAATGCCCTCTTTAATATGTTAGAGGGGATGGCCCAGTGGTCCAAGAAGCATTACATTTGAAATATCTAGGCTCCCTGGACCCAGAGTTCAGAGCAGGACTGAGTCAGCCCTTTACTCTTGAGAGGTAGATACATTGAGTTTGTGTGCAGTTTGTTGTCCTTGATTACCAAGGTCCTGTCTTCTTTTGGGGGACATTATAGATACCCTGGTACTTCCTAAAAGTGAGTTGGCCAAAACATTCCCTTCAGTTTACCCCTTTCCTTGTTTTTCAGCAGGATTTGCATTGGTTCCCTTGCTTCCCAATTGTGGCTGTACTTTAGTAGTGCTATATGTAAAATAGTTTAGGATGAAAAGTGCTATATAAATATACATTTTCTACAGAGAGAAGCCTTCTTTAAAGAAATAGGACATTGATACTGCCCTGCAAAATTTGCCATAAAATTAGACTAGTGGTTTTCAATCTTTTTTTCATTTGAGGACCCCTACAAAGTTTTCGAATGGTGGTGCGGACCCCTTTGGAAATCTTAGGGTATGTCTACACTATGAAATTAGGTCGATTTTATAGAAGTCGATCTTTAGAAAGCGATTTTATACAGTCAATTGTGTATGTCCCCACTAAGCACATTAAGTCGGCGGAGTGCGTCCTCAATACCGTGGCTAGCATTGACTCATGGAGCAGTGCACTGTGGGTAGCTATCCCACAATCCTCGCAGTCTCCGCTGCCCATTGTAATTCTGGGTTAAGCTCCCAATGCCTAATGGGGCAAAAACATTGTTGTGGGTGGTTTTGGGTACATGTCGTCAGTCTCCCCTCCCTCCCTCCGTGAAAGCAACGACAGACAATCATTTCGTGCCTTTTTTCCTGGGTTACCCTTGCAGACACCATAACACGGCAAGCATGGAGCCCGCTCAGCTCACCACTGCTGTTGTGAGTATTGTAAACACCTCGCGCATTATCCTGCAGAACCTGGCTAGGAGCCACCAGCACGAGGACGATTGTGAGGAGGACATGGACACAGACATTCCTGAAAACACGGGATGTGGCAATTGGGACATCATGGCTGTACTTGCCACGAATGCATCCCGATTCTTCAGGGCAAATCAAACATTAGACACAATTGCTTTTAACCCCTGTAGTGTAGTTACAAATGTGCACTCACCAGAGGTGCCTTCTCCAGCTTCAGAGTCCGGGAACCTGCCTTGGGAGGGTATTGGCTCTAGGGTGATTAAAAGGTCCTGGCTGCCGGGGAGAACGGATTCTCCACTTGCCTGCTACGCATTCTCCTCCTCCTCCTCTTCCTCATCTACAAAATCCTCCTCCCTGTTGCATGAGACTCCCCCCTTGCAGGTGTCCACGGACAGTGGTGGGGTAGTGGTAGGGTCCACCCCTAGAATGCCATGCAGCTGATCATAGAAGCAGCATGTATGGGGCTTTGACCCAGAGCAACCATTTGCCTCCTTTGTCTTTTGGTAGGCTTGCCTGAGCTCCTTATCTTTCACGTGGCACTGCTGTGTATCCCTATTGTAGCCTCTCTCCACCAGGCCCTGTGCGATTTTGGCATATATATTAGCATTTCTTCTGCTGGATAGGAGTTTTGCCTGCACAGATTCTTCTCCCCATACAGCAATCAGATCCAGTTTCTCCCGTTCAGTCCACGCTGGAGCTCGTTTGCGATTCTGGGACTGCATGTTCACCTGTGCTGCTGAGCTCACCACACTGACCAAACAGGAAATGAAATTCAAAATTTCCTGGGGCTTTTCCTATGTACCTGGCTAGTGCATCAGAGTTGAAAGTGCTGTCCAGAGTGGTCACATTGGAGCACTCTGGGATAGCTTCCGGAGGTCAATACTGTCAAATTGCATCTGCACTACCCCACATTCAACCCATCAAGGTCGATTTTAGCGCTACTCCCCTCACCGGGGAGGACTACAGAAGTCAATTTTAAGAGCGCTTTAGGTTGACGGAACGGGGGTTGGTTGTGTAGACGCATTGCTTATAAAATAGACCTAACACAGCTAAATTCGACCTAACCTCGTAGTGTAGACCAGGGCTTAGACTATGGATGCCCTGGGGTCCTTGGAGCACAGGTTGAAAACCACTGAATTAGACTAACCCTGGAGATGGTGACAACAGGGTTACAACAAATACAGATTTGATTATACTTATTGTTATTTTGATATGCAATGTATGATACAGATTATATTTTAATCTTGCAGCAGACATTTTTATCCATTGAAGCTTGACTCCGTAGACAGAGATAGGAATTTCAGATCTGTTTTTTCCTTGCTATTGCTGTACACTTTACATGCTCCCCTTAAAAAATATCAAAACCAGGCTTCCCATTGCATCACATATATTCACATCCTAGGATCAAACAGAATTAAGTTATGTAATATAGTTGAGGGATTTTGTATCCACTTTTTAGAGTCCCTGATTCATATTTATAGACTACCAGGCTTTTATTAAAGTGTCTTTCTCCCATTTAAAATGTTCGTAACCTTTCTTTCTTTCTTTAGGAGGAATATGCACTACAGTCAAAATCTGTACTCCTGCCATTCAAGTAATTTCCCTTCCTCCCCCAAGTAAACATTCTTAGTTATATTATGTCTGTGTAGTAAATCATTTGGAAGCAAAGTATCTAAGGAAGACAGTCTTGCAGAGTTATAAACCCACAGGGTTGTCCTTAGATATGTTTTTTTTCTGACTGGTTAATTGAGATAAAATGTCCACAGGTGGAAAGTCTTAGATTTTAATTGCTTTTGGGGTCTCTCTCTCCCCCCCCCTCTCTCTCTCCATCCCCCTCACCTCAGGCAACCGGGTTTTGTTGAGTAATCCAAGATTGCAAGGTGTATCTGTCTTGATTTGTTTCCTCTACAACAACTGCTGACTAATTTAATATTTTTAACCTCCCTTATAGATCAAAGAATTTCATAATAAAATGCAATCAATATTTCCAGCAATTCCTAAAAGTGCAGAGCACTCAGTCGAATGGGAAGACTTACTGAAATCCAAATGAAGGTGCAGAAAGGATTCAGAATTGTATGCTTCAGTGGGAAAGACTGCAGAACTTGTGGGAAAATCCCATCTAAAAAAATAAGAAAGAAAATCAGACTGATTTGAAGGCATGGAAGTGAGCAAATTAGTGACTGCTGAACATGGGGACGGCAGTTATTATTTTAACCGCAAGAAAACAGTTATGTTTTTGCTGTTACTTTTTCAGCATTGTCATTAGAGTTGAATTGTGGAGAAAAGAACCTTATGGGATACCTTGAAAGAAGAATATAATTGTATGAGAACGTGTTTCAGTAAAACAAAAATCAAACAAGAAACTGATCTTGAGTGGATATTTACAATAAAATATAGTTGCAAACTCTTACCCTCTCTTGCTTCTTGGATAAAATTCTAGGTTGTTTGGAAAATAAGGAACAACAGTAATTTCATTGACATTTACCTGTCTTATTAGGAATAAAGGAGGCTGAGTCCATCACATCAGATCAGTTAATCTAGTCTGTAGCAAAGGCATGTAATGGGTTACCTCAATTCCTGAAGCTAGAGGACATACCTGAACAATACCTATGGAGGGAGGGCTGAACACATCCAACATACCAAGGATATACAGGAAATACCTATCTGGTTTTCTCTATAAAGTGAAGGATGTTCTCTCTATAAAAAACATTTTTTTTGATCCATTATCTATTTTTTTACTGGGACTCTGTAACAACGGGTCTGATAACTTGCACAAGAACCTGTCATGAAAATGTAGATGCTATAAAAGTGTGTGACATCCAGTCTGCCCTATACCACAGACACTTCTCAGCTAAGAAGCCATGTGGGCAGGTATAGGTTTTAGTATCTGTGTGGTTCTTATGGCTCTGCTACCAGGTGAGTCCTAAGTAATGTGTCATTTTTCATGCTGAAATGATCTCATTGTGTGGGTGTAAGCTAAGGAAGAAAAATGTCTAATTCAAATGTATTTGCAGAACTGTAGATCTAAAACAGTTGTAAAAATATTTTTAATATGTAAATTCTTCCAGTGAATTTCTCCCCAATCAGTGATCAGATTTCTTTTATTAATTGCTCAAGGTCCAATTAGCCAGCCATCAGGTTTAATAAAGTGCTGTTGAAGTGTAACCTTTGTGTTTAAACCTTTTCATTTCTAGGAAAGAATATTTTTTAAAAAATCGTAAAGGTCAAATGAATAATAGAGTAGTATGGTTTCTCGACTGTAATATACCACAAAGATATTATCTTTGAAGAAACTGAAGTGTAATAACTGACAGCATTTAAATAGCTTACCCTATGCATTTCAATATTAAACAAATCATGGTGAACACACTCTTCAGCACACATCCAAAGATGGCATTTTTTCATTATTTCTGTTAGTTCATGTATAATATTTACTAACTACTGTATTGCCTAATACTATGGCAGTTTGGTGCTGAGTTGCCAAGATTTAACAGATGGATGTGCCATTTGCAAAGCCAAAGACAATCAAGTGCTAAACAAAATAAGTGCACGTTGCATCATGTCCTTAAAATGGCTAGGCTCTGGTTGAACTGCATTCTTGCTTCCACACAGCTAATAACATTCTTAGGAATAGACCATCTCATATGTGGTAGCACTTCTAAGGTCCAGAGTCCATCACAGATCTTAAGAAGCACCTATACTCTGGATTGACTTCTTTGGTGTTCCTAAATTCAATAGCAGTTACTACTTCTGTTCTTCTAAGCCCATAGGAGTAACCACCATGCTTCTAAGGCCTGGTCTGCACTACAGGGTTAGGTCAATGTAAGCTGCCTTGTGTCTACTTAGCTGTGGAATTGCCTTCACTTAAATTTGGCTCCCACAGACACAAGT